AGCTTGATTTCCCTCCCTACGATCATGTCTGGCGTGGTGTCGCCCACCTTGTGGACGACGACGAGGTCTATTAATGGAAGCTTCAGAATTTTCAGCTTCGGTCGAATATGGGGTTGGGTCAAGAGTGTTCAACCTAGCGGTTAGGGCTCTATTCTCCTCATGAGTAGCGGCTACCTTAGTTTGGGCAGCCGTTAATTGATTTTGGAATTGTGCCAACTGTCGGGTAAGAGCTTCAATTTGAGAAGGGTCCATGGCAAGGGTATTAGCACTAGAAGTAGTAACACGACCACTACACAATTGCATGCACTAGCTAAGTGAAATGCATTACTGAGATCAATAAACAATGGGTTCCAACAGTAAAATAGCAACAAAAAAATAAATTTCTCTTTTTTTTTTTAATTTATTTTTAAGTTACTCAAAAGATGGGATTACGTAGGCCCGAACGTGCAAGCTAATAATACTGGTGCAAATAAAATTGAAAGCAAGGATAGAAATGACTATTCGAAAGATCTAAACACGTGGGGTAATGGGGAACAAAGGGAGTAAATTCATGCATTTCAATCGAGTAGGTTTAAGGTCACAATTATCAAGTAACAGCAACACAAATATTGTAGATGATCCGACTTTAAGATGAAGAACCAATATAAACCAATAATAAAGAGATCAAGAACTCCATGTCGTTTAGTCACTCGAACTGCTGACAAGTGGGTTCCGAATATGCTTGCGGTCCTTCCTTCGTTTCAGTTGTCTTCCACTTCAGAACTCACTTCTGTTGAATTGCGAAATATACTGTCTTGACTTTGGCTTTGTTGTGGTAGGAGGTTCAAATATCAACCAATTAACTGCCTCTGATTTCTCGAAATCCTTTGAACAACTGCTTCTTGAAGTTGCTGTATTTTGCAAACTGGAGGCGTCAAACCCTATGATGGCAGCGGTTGGTGGCAGTATGAGCAGTGGTGGCGCCGATGATTGGGATTGTTTGACGGCGTCTAAGAGGGGAACCGGTTTATGATAAGGCAGCAAAGTTTGATGAATTTAAATCTCACGTTCGGTGGCTCTCTTGGGTTCTAGGATAATGAGAAGTGGTTGGCTGATTGATGACTGGCCGATTAAGTGATGATGTCCGACTGGAGTGTAAAAGTCGGCGACTGTGACTGGCAATCGGGTGCGATGCTGGGGATTAATAATTGGGCGATGGTGAGTGGGGAAGTAGGTGGATGAGTGGTGGCTGTGTTGAAGGAAATGGAGGTGGTTGGGTCGGAATAATTGGTAATGGTGGTGATGGTGTTGCGCGATTTGATATAGAATGGGTTGAAGAAGATGATAGACTTGGGCTGGATTGTGACCTGTGTGGGTGATAGGCCTTGATGGAGGTCTTGTCTGCCGATAATAGATGCCGGCGATTGTTGACCAGTCGATCGAAGGTCGAGGATCGGCTTGGAAGCTGCGACGCTGGGGAGAGTGAAGGAACGGGTTGCAGTGGTGGTTGGGTATTATGAGTTAGAAATATGGGCTGGGTTGATATGGGTTTGACCGGGTGTAGATGAGGGTTATGTTATGGGCTGGGTAATGGCTATGTGAAAGTGGGTTGAGTGATAATGTGCTTGGGCCTTGATTATATGGGTTTTGGAGTTATTGGGTTACGTGGGTTTGGGTTGAGTTGAGTGTTGTGTATAATGGGCTGAAATTTAGACTGAAAATTATGTTGGGCTGGAATATATGGAAATGTGGGCTGGTTGCTATTGGGCTTGGAAGGAATTGAAAAGAAATGGGCTAGGGGTTGAAACAGCAACTTTAATTCAAAAGGAAGCAGCAAATCAATCAAATTGAAACGGCAGAATTTTTTTTTTTTAATACTACAAAAAGAAAATCAAAAATTTGGAATCCTGGGTGTGAACAGTAACACGGTTTTTTTATTTTTTTCAACAAGGGCGGAGAACAAAATGAAAAAAAAAATTGCTGCTTCTTATGCTAAACATCTTTCAATTGTACTGTTCCAATAAATTTTGGGAGAAAAGAAGAGATTTTGGATTGTAAAAAGAAAGTACCTAAGATTCGGCTCTGATACCAAATTTGATGCAGCACCAACGGGACAGTTAATTGCAAAATTAGAATAGATATATGGGGAGGGGAAATTAGAGAGAAGAAAGGGATGGGGATTCAACAGAAGGGAAGAAAGAAAACAGGAAGAGAGAAAAGCGCCATAAGCCACCAAAATATTATTCATTCATTATCAACTGAAAATTACAATGCAAAAATAGGTTTAAATAGTAAAACAACCTTAACGAGATTGGGCCCGAGCCCATACAAGTCCAAATTTTAAATAATAGTCCAAAAGATAAATAAAGCTTAAATAAAATAAGTAAACGTCCGATGTCCTCATCAGATGAGCAACCTGGCCCTGCAATCCCAACTGCGGCATAATGAGATTGTGAAAACAAAATAATAAAGATTAAGCCCTAATCCCTACTGTGAAGAGCAATAAAAGAGGCAAACGCAATAAATAAAAAAAAACAAAAACAAAAAGCTTAGCGTACACGGATTTATAGTGGTTTTATGCCCCTGCAAATTTTCGAAGAAGAAAACAAGTTTGTCTCATGCCTCTCTTGCACACGGAAATGGCCTCATAATAAATATTGATCTTCTTGGGAGAGGTACTTGGTCTTTCATCACAAGTTATTTTTGTTACACATGCGTGATTTATCGAAACAATTCTTAACTTGATGACGCTTTCGTTGTGGATCCATATCAAGCCAATTCTAACATAGAGTTGACATTATCAGTTAATGAATACGTAATTGTCTGAAAGGTGTCATGCTCTTTTATCTTCATTTTTCTTTCCCACTCTATATGTCCTTGACAACTCTCTTCTTAAGCATGCTATTTTTTCCCCATCATAGAAGGTTGAATTCTAACTCAAAATTCCACTAGATAAAAGATGAAGTTGGATTCAATTATAAAAATAAAAATAAAAATAAAAGGAAAAAAAGGAACAAGACACCGTCTACTTTTTTGAATTATGGTGCTTGTACCAAACTAGTTTGAAAATGGACCGACCATCCGTTTTCCTGAAAAGCACCAAAGGAAATGTCGTAAACTAGGCTGTGTGTACTGTAATAACGGGACACCCCCTTAGTCTTCGTTTACCAGAAAAAATTCAGTATTGATATGTCAATGAAATTAATGATGGATACCTTTTAAACAAAATGACAAAACCCAACTTTTTCCCAACAAGCCTGAACAAATTTGAGGTAAGAAAAGATGGCACCATTTTCTGCTATTCTCAATTGCGGCAACTCTTATTTGTTGAACGGTTGACTGCCGACGTTTTCAATGTTGATACTTGTACATTGTTGACGAATTTCTTTGAAATTTATCATGGATGGATAACCTAGCATTGGACATGAACTATGTCCATGTGATAAAAATTGAAAAATAAAAATAACACTGGAAACACTTCAAGTTGAGATCTGCTATCTAATTTTGTTGTTCGTCCAATTAATTCTTGACATATAATCAATTAAATGGATTAGTTGTGAAGTTAATAATGATAAATTTGAGATAATTTATTAATTATTGATGATTAGACAACATATCTCAATTCAACCATTTCTACGTTTAAGAATATGAGAAATGACTCTTATTTTAATGTTAATTAATATATAAAACTGTTGATTACTCAACAACTGTATCATTTCTTTCTTTATCAAAGTGATTGAAGTTGATTTAGGTTAAACAATCAATTGTACAAAAGTTAGTCAAATTGTACAATTTCCAATAAGATTTATGGATGATAAAGAATAGAGAACCCGGCCCAATTATAAATTAATCATGTTCTGTGTACTGAAATTCCATGTTTTGCCAAATTCAGGTCTCATCTTCTTGTTTTGCCCAGAATGCCTCTGCCTATCCATGATAGTGATCAGTGTCTTGCAATTCTCGCAGTATTTTGACGCCTTATGTTCATGTTCGATACACATAGTAAGCTATAGGATAGACGAGATTGTAATTTCTTTTCTTTACGTAAATTGTTTAGCATTATGCGCACTGGCGGATCCAGCACCTGCGGCCCGCCGGAAACCTTTTTTTTTTTTTTTTTGACAGGAGCGAAAAGAGTTAGGTTATATAGCTGATATTTCAGTTTATTTTCAAACTACCCTTGTTGTTCAGTTGGTATGAGCGTATACTTACAAACTGGACGTCCAAATTTCGAATCTCTACCTTATAACTTTTGCTACGCAATTTTTCTTGTTTTTCAATTTTTACCAAAACTAATACGATTGGGAGGAGGGATTCGAACTTGCAACTTCTCACCAAGGTTATTCAGAGCTCAACCATCATGACACTTGATGAATTTTGATGCGAAATGTAGCAAAATAATATATATTTTGTTTTAGTTTTTTTAATGCAATTTATAAGAATCGAACACATGCTCCTTCCTTTGGATTATGGAAACCTTGCCACCATGCCATATGGTGAATGTTGTTGCGATATCTAACGAATTTATGTTCAATTTTTAGCAAAATAATTATTATATTTAATTTTTAATATTTTATTACAACCAACGGTCAACGTCCACCCGTGCTCGCTCAAAATTCTAAATTCACCACTGATTATGTAGTCTAGCTTGCCATACACGAGAGGCTCCAACCAGAATTCTAATGACTGGTCTACACTAATCACCAAATGCGATCAAGAAATCCAAAATTTAGATTTAAAAAAAAAAATCGACATTTTGAGCTGGAATTAAACAGATCTATCCAATTTGTGCCAGTGTGAACTTGTTCAAGGGTAAAGATCTCCCACATTTCTTCAATGTGATATTCTAATTTTAAAGTCTGAGGTCCTATTCCTGTAAAACCAAAATTAAATTATTGTACCTTTCCAGCTGTCACTTCCTCGGATTCAAATCAAACACTAATGATTTATTGATTTATTTATTTTTCTTCTGTAACCATAGGATTTTCTTGAATCTACTATGAAATTATAAATACACTGCATACCAAACATGACCAACTTTATTTGATGGCTTCGTCCATGGGATTCAAAAGTACTACATATTTACAAACAAAAATATGCATGCATCAAGTACATGGACGGTAAAAGTCTGACTGACACAAGATTTTGTAGTTAACTACGAGCACACCAAGGGGTGAAAAAGGATCAAATTACAGCAATGAAATAAAAAGGAAAAAGAAACCCCATAAAACCATGAAAAAAATAGGAAACCAGATCAGTAAATTGTGGATCCTGAAAAAAGATAGCATTTTTATTGGGACTACCAAAAAGTTCTTGATCTCTTTGAGGCAGTGGTAGGTGGATTGATCTGTGGAACAGCAAATGAATTGTCTTCACTACTCCATTTTCTGCTGGATTTGACGTTTGATATTTCTTTGTACTCCGTTGATCCATCTGGTGCTCCAAATGACATGTTTAAAGTTGGATATGATTGAATTTGTGTTGGATAGTATAAAGAAGGAGGGGCTTGAGGGACCCAAAATCCCATGTTTTCTGGGGAAAAAGAGCTCAGATTGCTCTCAAGATCAGCATTCAAGAAAGACAAGACATCATTTTCTGTAGTCTACAATTTGATCAAGCAGAATAAAACTCAGATTAATTGAAAAAAAAAAAAAATAGATTTCAGCATATGGAATTGATGGATGTAAAAGATTTTTGTAATTATGCTAACCTTAAAGAAACCAGAAGAAGAAGAATCAAGTAAGTCTTCAACATGCCACCCTGGAAGTGTATCTATTAAATATTCTGATATGCTACTTGTAGAACCATTTCCTCCATTTATCAGTTGAATATTTCCACCACTTTTATCATTGGTCGGCGGCGGCGCCATCACTGAAGTAGTGTTTGCGGTGAAAGGAGGTGGATCGGTGGGGGTTTCAGAAACAGAAACAGGCTTATGTAATGAAGTCTGGGACTGAATATTGGGAACAGAATCTGAAACATTTGAAGGGGATTCCGTTGATGTTGAAGATGAAGATGAAGATGAAGAATAAAGGGCAGAAGTTGCAGAAAGCTTTACACCAGTGAGAAGAAATCTATTATGCTTTTGAGTGTGTTCATTTGCTTTGTGTATTGGAATATCACACTCTCTGCATAGAATTACTCTATCTTGTTGACAGAACAAGAAGGCCCTCTTCTCCTATAAATCAAAAACAAAATCAAGAAAGTGGAAAACTCAAAATAAATTCAAGAAACTCAAAATATGTTTAGATACCTGACATATATCACAGACTGGAAATTGCTTAGGTGAAGGTTGGAGGAGGGAGAAGCGGTGGTGTTTTCCGGCTAGTTTGTTGGCATGGTGGACACGGTGGTCACAGACGGCGCAGAGGGCGGCTTCATCCGCCACACAGAATACTGATGCTTCATCTTTGTCACATACATCACACTGGATCTTCATTTAATTTGATCAGATTCTTTTGAAATTTTTCAAGTTTGGTGCGGGAGAAACTGATCGACAACGGAGAATTTTCCGGAAATGGTAAAAGAAATGTGGAGGATACGCGTTGAAATTAGAAGAGCAGGGTGGTGGAGGGTAGGGGTAGATAATTTATTCCATTATTACCTGCCATTTACAATGATGAAATAATAAAATATACGAAACCATTCTTCGTATTCGTAAATTTGACACACTTATTTGATAAATAATCATTACCTTTAATTTAATTCAATTCAACATTCGATATGTTATGAATATCAAGAGATTATATTAAACTCTCCCATGATTTTATTAAAATAATATTGAATGTTAGATTGATTTAAATTAAAGGTCACGATTATTTATCAACTAAGTGCGTCAAATTTATGAATAAGAGGAACGGTCCCGTAAAATATGTAGAATGTGAACATTAGTGTAAGAATGTAAAGTGGAAACAATTGACTGAGGCTCAGATGTCGATGAATCATGATACAATGATATTGACATAATGTTATACGGCACTTCTTTATTGAACTTTTTAAAACAGAATCAGCTTTTTTATCAAATCACGTCTCACCAAATCACATTGTATCACTCTATCTGTCAACTACTTTCTGCCAAATGGCACAACCAAAGGTGAATCTCCATATATTATGAAGTATGATAATAAAGATAATGATAATGAAAACTTGCGGTAAAGGTTTCAAACTTTTTAAATATGTAAAGTATGAAATATCGAACTTTTCAATAAATGTACAGTATAAGAATCTCTATAAGGTTTCTGTCGAAAAAAATTCGGTTATCCAAATTTAAGCATGGACAAAATGATAACTCTACATTTTCATAACCTAAAATAAGTAAAATATTTAAATAAAAAGAAACTAGAGGTAAGAAATAAAAGAAGAAGAACAAGATATTTCTTCATCCTCTCATCCCACCCCAACCCTCTTCATCTTAATTTTTCCCACCTCTATCAATGGCGTCTTTCATAGAGAAGGGTGGACGACCGATGCCATCATCAACGGTGTCAACAATAATATCTAAGAAATCCACAATGCGTGCATGCAAATTATTGGCATTGCATGGATCTGAGACTCAAGGTGAACCAAGGCGACATCGGCAACAATGTTAATAGTTCATCCATGATCAATGCCTTTAATTAGTGTCTTCTTCTCATCAAAGTGGTACAACCACTCCAGCTCCAACGTGAGAAATTATGATTGGGATTTTGTTAGGTAGGTGAGGTAGATGAAAAAATATATCTTTTTCGATTTTTATTTTTTTTATAATTATTTTAGGTTAAAATTTTAGAGTTATCGTTTTGCCCTTTTTACAAATGATCGAATGCCTGACTTTTGATCATCAAATGCTCATTTGGGCATAATCCATCTAGGAATCCTTATACCGCACATTTATTGAAAGGTTTGAGATGTAGCTAAGAGGATTTTAAAGTTTAGGACCATGCTGCACATTTTTGAAAGGTTTAAAACTTCTACTACAAATTTCCCTAATAATAATGTTCATAAATTTTCACAAGACGTGATAGAGGATGGTTCTCACTTCTATAACTCAGTACGACTTTTTCAACCAATTTACGACCATCAAAAAAGTTTCACATCAATTATCTTCTTTTATCAAAATTATAACCACTTATAAAGCGTAAACATTAATAAACTTACAAGGTTGCATATAAATAGAATAACAAGAATTTGACTTGAAGATTTGCTTACAAATTTGACACAAAATATATTTCAACAATGTTGTGTGTACAGACAGCATCGTTCACAGAAATGCCACAGAATATTCACAATGAGGGGGTGAGTGATTTTTTTGGGATTTTTTTATTACACCATGAGACCCTCCCATGTGAGTGTCTGGAGCAATTTTGTGAGAAAAATTTCTGCGCAAACATTTTTGAATATATTTACCCTATCAATAACGATTGGTGACCTGTAGCAATTTTCTATGTTGGATGCAATCCACTAAAATCGTTACAAGTTTTACCTGAAAATTTTGTTGAAACCATTGGCAAATAAATTTTGTTTGTGTTTGTGCATGTAGAATAAGATCAAGAAATCGCAAATTGAATCTTATTGTTAATAAATTTAAAGTCTGCTTCATGAATTCTTTTCTCATTCCCTGCAATTCGTCCATATTTTACTAAAACATATTCCAATACAACAAATCTTTTGCTACACAAACATACCATATTAACTTTTTTCTTCGTTTCTATCTACTAATTTTTTTACCAAACTCTATGAAAATTGCATCACATTCACTCTTGTAAAAGAACAGATACCTAGATCAATGTAAAACATGTCTAATCTTTTTTATCATTGTCCACTCACTAATCTTCAATCAATATTCGTCCACTTATTAGTACATATGATTATTGATACTATAAAAAATCATACCTGTGATCTTGACAATCGAGAATAAGCACGAATAAGATCTTTCGGTACCTGAAACAAAGGCGTTGAGTTGTGTCCTCCTCATCCCTTCGATGCTTAAATTATAGAGAGAATTTGTGTGTGAGGCTATAAATTGAAAACTATGTAAAAAGCATACCTGAATAATGAACTTTGGTCCTATTTTATATATGTCGATAATTGAATTCTAAAAGGATCCAACCACCTGTAATCATTATCCTTACCACACGAGATATCTGTATTATATTGAAAGTGTTCTATTTTAGTTTGAATCAAACTATGATGGGTAAGTAATTTGGATGAAGATAAATGTTATGGAGTGTTATAGTCAAAGCGAGATTGACGTTTCTAGAAAGTGAGAGATAAGGTAAGGGTTTCGATCTCATGACGTCCAATCCGACCTCTCAAGGCAAACCTATACGTCTAGCCCGACCTCGAAGCTTGGATAATGGGGAAAAGACAAGATCGAGCTTTTTGAGTTCGAGCTTGAGTGTTACAATATTTTGGGAACATCACAAGCCCCCTTGCATCCAGATCACAGCTGGCGGTTACTTGCATGGCCTTTCCACCACTTTTTAGCCTCCTTTTTTATATGCTAGGCCAATTAGCCCATAATAGGTAAAAGCTCTTGATATATTTCTTCATCTTATGTAAAAGTCTCGGAATCAACCTCTTGATGATGGTTTTCGATATGAAATTCTTGTCAAGGTACAACTATTTCGTGTACTCATGTACAAAGGAGAGATTCAGGACACTCTATTAAGGATTGGAAAGAACACTTCCAATCCTTAATATGATCCTGAACTTGAGATCGAGCTAATGCTTTGCTTTTCTTTTTACATAAATAGAAACGTCTTTCTACTTATCTTAGCTCTTTGTAAACTTACACAACAAGGCCAACAGCCCGAAGCCCAAAGCATCTGTCCCATTGAGAAGAAAGAAGAGGGTGAGAGAGGTCAATCCTAAGAATGTCATAAGTGGGGTCGGACAGACCTCGAGGGCAGAAAGCCCAATCTCTCTACCACGACCCACTCCTAGATCAAATGTCTGAGTTTCTACTCCTCGGGGCATGTCGGAGATTGTTGACTTGCATTACGACGTTATTCCTTAGAGCTCGATGGAAGAATACGTCGAATGCTCATTGATCTTGAGCATTGTGAATAAATATGCTGAATAAGTCGATCATAATGAAAAGGTGAAGACCCTTAAGCTGCTGACTCTAAAGGTTTGATCTCAGTCTATATTAGTATTTGTTCATCTTTCATGATTGATCTAACATTGATCTTGGTTTTCCCTTTTCAGACTTTTAGCGTGGCTGGAGGCTTTACCCTGAAAGGGAGAAATACCTCGAGTAAGTTGGATGAGGTCGATGAGGAGAACAAGTAGAACAAGAACTGAATCCACAAGCTTATGGTAAGCATGACCTGGTAAGGATAGAAACTCGAAAAGCTCAGGACCAAGGGGTGCTGCAAAGGATGAGGTCAAAAAGACCAAGCTCGAGCCCATGCAAGCTAAGAAGGGCATTGAGGACAAACTAGCTAGGGCTTGAGCTTAGGTAAAGGAAGACTTCAAGAAGTCAGAAGAGTTTGGGACGCTACTAGGGCAATATGGCGCAGGCTCCTATCATTATGGCCTAAGGCTTGATGGTTCAGTTTTGCGAACCAAGCTCTATGAAGACTTGAAGCCTGTCGTCGAAGAGCTTAAGTCGGTCAACGAGCTCGAGCTTTTGGTATCAGAGGTCTAGGATGAAGACGATGAGGAGGAGGCCAAAACTCATGACCAGGGTGACCCTGCGAATGCCACCGACCTAGATTAGGCCCTTACCTCGAACGCTCTTATTTTTTGAAAATGTAACAAGTACATTGCTCGATCTGGGTTTATTTTTTGAAAAATGTCTATTTTTCAATTTTTGTCGTCTAATGCAATTGTTACTTGTTACATGTGCCTTTAATTTGTTCACAAAAATCGAGCTCGATACAAATAAATGTCAATCTCTTAATCTAAGCAAAGTTGAGCGTTTGGCAACTATGGTGAGCACGCAATAACTCAAGCTTTTGATGTCGAGGCAATAGATAGGCTACCTGTTAACTATTTTTGGCAAGTTTGGGCTTTTGTAAAAGTGACTTTTTTAGTTTTGATAGGTGAAGCTCGAATGTTCTACTTGCCTTTGACAAGTAGCTTGAGCTTTTATGAGCTGTTATATCTTTAATAGGTAGAGCTCGAGTACACAACTTGTCCATTGTCTTTGACAAGTAGCTCGAGCTTTTGTAGAAGCTTGAATGTATTTTAAGCTTTAATAAGTAGAACTTGATCATACGACTTGTCATTGTATTTGGACAAATAGCTCGAGCTTATGCAAATGCCGCAATATTCTTAAAAGCATACAACATCCATTATTATAGACAAGTAGCTCGAGCGTTTATGTAAAAACCTGTAATATTTTTTAGCTACAATTGGTAGAGTTCGAGCATATGAATTGTCCATTATTTTTGGACGAATATCTCAAGCTTATGTAAAAAGCTGTAATATTTTTAACATTTCGATAAGTAGAGTTTGAGGCTATTTGTTGGTGAAGGTCGAGTCGAAAAGGTCAGGAATAGCTACATGTTTATTCGCAACCTTATGCTAAATTGATGTATTAGTTGCATGTATATGGCATGGTCTTACGCTAAATTGATGTTTTTGGGCAATTTTTTTTATTGTAAAAGCAAACTCTT